AATCTTGCACCCTCTACTGTCAAGCAGATGCAAGATACGTCGAAGTGCAGTAAGCTTCCTGGCCACCTTCTTTGTCAGGGTTACAGTATGGTTCTTCATGGTCAGTTTGGAGTTGAACTTCACCCCAAGGATATCAGCTTCATCCCCAGGTACCAACACTCTTCCATTCATTCTTACCACTGCTCCAGCATTACCATTATGGTGCCTAGAGACCATCATCATTTGTGTTTTTTTAGGGGCAAATGTTACTTGCCATCGTTTACCCCAGGGTGATATAGCTGTAAACTGGTGATTGATGTAGTGTAGAGCAGCTGGCATTTCCCCTCTTGGATAAATAAATGTTAGTTTGCAATCAACGGCATATGCATGGGATTCTGGGATGAGATGGAGGAGGTCGTTGAAGTAGACATTCCATAACAATGGCCCAAGCACTTTCCTGTGGAACACTTGCCGCAGTAGGATGTCTTGCTGACTCTGTCCCATTGATAACTGCCCTTAGAGGTCTACCTTGAAGGTAATCACTGAGGAGACATAGTGTAGAGCCTGCAATTCCAAGTGCTTGCAGTTTTGCCAAGAGTACCTGGTGCCATAATTGGTCAGAAGCACCAGCAATATCTAGTGCTACTACAGAGCTGAGTTTGGATTGATCCAGTTACTGGTTCCACTTAGTGGAGAGGTTTAACAATAGATCAGCAGCAGGGTAACCTTTTCTTAAGCCATATTGACAGTCACAAAGTAGTGAGTGGTAGTCAAAAAACTCTGTCATTTGCCATGAGATTATTGTCTCGAGGATCTTGCTAGTGATAGACAGGAGTGACACTGGTTTGTAGTTACTAATTTCTGCTCTGCTCTTCTTTTTGTGAACAGGGACTACATTTGCCACTTTTCACAGAGAAGGCCATTTAGTTTGTACTAGGCAGTGCTGAAAGATTCGAGTTAGAGGTCCTGATAGCTGGTCTGCACATCTACTCGGCAATCTTGGGTTCAGCTTGTCTGGACCCACAGCTTTTTCTTGGTCCTCCTCCTGCCTTATTGTCACCACTGACAGCTTTGACACAGTTCTTGCAGCTAACCAAGAAGGGTCCCTCGCTGGATCAGGAACTTGCACCTTGGCAGCAGAGTGTTTGGCAAAGAGGTCAGCTTTCTCCTGACTACTAGTAGAGGTGGTCCCATCCTGTTGATTTAGAGGTGGAATAAGTTTATCAGGCAGATAACCTTGTCTGTCCCTAACCAAGGACCACCAGGTTTTGGAGCCCCCACTATCTGATGCCAGCTTTCTTTTTGCGTCAGCTTCCCATTTAGAAATGGCCCACTTCTGAACTTCACTAATATGCCTACTGGCTTGCCTGTGCAGGTTCCTCTTATAGGTAGTGGGATGTCTCATATATCTTCTCCAAGCCTTGTACTTAGCAGTAGCAGCCTCTCTACAACGAAAGCCAAACCAAGGCTGATCTGTGGGTTTTGTTACATATTCCTTGTGTGTGTGTGTGTGTGTGTGTGTGTGTGTGTGTCTGTCTGTCTTTTAATGTTGTTAGTTCTAGTTAGGGTAGTTGATGAGTGGATAGGGTAGTTGATGAGTGGAACAGTCTACCTAGTTGGGTTATTGAGGCTAGGACTTTGGGTAGTTTTAAATTTAGGTTGGATAAGTACATGAGTGGGAGGGGTTGGATTTGAGTGGGACTTGCACATCAGAGCTTATTTCTTGGGTAGCATTGAAAATTGTGTTGGGCAAATGTTTTGCTAGTGGGATGAATTGTAAAGGACCTGCCTAGTATGGGCCAAAAGGCCTGCTGCAGTGTTCCTCCTTTCTTATGTTCTTATGTTGTGTATTTTGCATATTTTTTGCTCTTTGGTTCTGGTACCAAATTTGTGGCACCTCAATTTTTTGACATACATACTTAATTAGTTTTGGATTCTTGCCAGTGCTGCATATTGCAGGATTGACTGGATGTTGGTGTTACCTGCACTAGAAGTTTCTCTCACATCAGATTTCTGAATGTCATTCTTATGGTAGTTGACATTTGCTGCTGATGTTATGTGGCCAATGAAGTTTGGTAAGATATTAACATCTAGGTTTTACTCATTTGAAATTGTGAGACATCTGCCTTTTGTGCACCCTTATCCATTTTATTAATCTGCATGTATGTGTGAGCATTGGTGGGTGTGCTCTGTGCATGCGTACGTATTTGTGTGCATATTTATGTTCTTGTATGTATGTTTATGGATGTGTGTGTTTATACTCATGCTTGTACATACTAGGGTGTCCATCACTCTGATTTGTGTGTGAGGACAGTTTCTACTCTTGGCTCCACTTTAACTCTTTGAGGGTTTCAGCCGTACTGGTACGGCTTACGACCCAGGGTTTTTGACGTACTAGTACGCCTAAATTCTAGTGCCCTCAAATCTAGTGGGAGAAAGCTGGTAGGCCTACATATGAAAGAATGGATCTATGTGGTCAGTGTGCGCAGTATAAAAAAAATCCTGCAGCACACAGTGCATAATGAGAAAAAAAAGACTTTGACCGTTTTTTTGGAATAAAACAGCGACTTTGCACTGTATTTTCGCATGGTATTTATTGTTGTATTCTAGTTTTCTTGGTCTCATTTTATAGAATGGAAGACATACTACAGAAATAGAGATGATTTTGACTGGTTTTACAATGAAAAGTACCTTGAAATTGAGCTCAAAGTAGCAGAAATGTTCGATTTTTACCAAAGTTCAAAAGTAAACAAATCATGCTATGTGTCCAATACACGTCAACTGGCGAGTCTATTATTCGTTTACAAGTGCGTCAATATTATTTATACCATTTTTTACACTAATGCAGTAGTCTGCATAACAGTAAATCTTCTATTTTTTGTGAGAATAAAAATTCAAAGTGGAAAGCAAAAGAATATAAGAGGGGCATTGAGATGTGACTAATGAACAGAGGAAATGTAATTTTAGTGCCAGGAATGTCTTTCTTGTTTATTCTGGACCCTATTCAGAAATTGGCATCTTTTGAAATTTGTGTGAAATTGGCAAAATTGCTAAATTCTGACCACTGTACTGGATAGTTGAAACTGATAAATGGGTGGTTTATTGCACTCATTCGATAGAAAAAATGGAGTTCTAGCGAAATATCCATGTTTTTTGTTGACTAGTACAGTGGAATTGGCCGAAAATGGGGCTCAAAGTGGGCAAAATCGCCGATGAGTAAACATCGCTGAGACCGCTAACTTCGCAAGAGCATAATTCCGTAAGTTTTCCATCAAATTTCAAACTTTTGGTGTCATTATGATCGGGAAAAGATTCTCTATCTTTTCATAAGAGAAAATTATTTTTTTTTTTTTTAAATTTGGTCGACCCTGAGAACGAGTCTCAGAGAGGGCCTGTCGACCCTCAAAGGGTTAAGCTACTTTAACCTGAACTACTTGTTTCTGGTTTCTTCTGCTGTATTATCATATGCTTTTGTTGTAATTTTGTACCAAGTTTAACTCCAAGATTTCTTAATCCAATTCATTCTACTTTTCTATCATTCTGAGACTAAAGAAGTACTGTACAGTGGACCCTCAGTTATCGGCCAACTCGGTTATCAGCCGTTTTTTTGGCTTCCAGTTATCAGCTGTTATTTCGCTTATTGGCCATATGGGATGCATCAATCCGCCGCTGCCAGCTGCTTGTGAATCAGTCTGGCTGTGTCTCTGGGCGAGTGAGGAAGCTTCTGCTCATTCATCCAAACATTTCGCTATAATCCATTGTTTTTCATGGTTATTGATTAAGCGCAACTGCGAAATAAGTAACCATGGCCTCAAAGAAAGTTCCTAGTAAAGTTCCTATGGCAAAGAAAGTGAGAAGCATGATGGAATTTAAGAAAGAAGTTATTGAAAAATATGAGTGGTGTGTGGGTGCTGGAACTTGCCAGGATGTATGGGAAAAACAAATCAACAATCACTTCCATCCTGGCAAAGAAAGTAGAAATCAAGGAAGCTAATGTTGCAAAAGTAGTAAATGTGCTAATGAAACAAAAGTCACCAATAATGGAAGATATGGAGAAGTTATTGTTGTTGTGGATCACCGAAAAACAATTAGTGAGAGATAGTGTTGTGGAGTCGATTGTTTGTGAGAAGGCAAGGCAGTTGCATGTGGACCTTGTAAAGAAAATGCCTGGAACAAGTGCTGCTGTTAGTGAATTTAGGGCCAATAAAGGCTAGTTTGAGAGATTTAAGAAGCATAGTGGCATACACAGTGTAGTAAGGCATGGCAAGTTTGCAAGTTCTGATAAATATGCGGCTGAAAAATTTGTGCAGGAATTCAAGGGGTACGTAGAGGCTCAAGGATTCCTCCCCCAACAAGTGTTCAATTTTGACGAAACAGGCCCCTTTTGGAAGAAAATGCCAAAGAGGACCTACATTACACAGGAGGAAAAGGCACTGCCAGGACACAAGCCTATGAAAGACAGACTTACTCTTTTGTTCTGTGCTAACACTAGTGGGGATTTCAAAGTGAAGCCTTTACTGGTGTATCACTCTGAAAATCCCAGAGTGTTCAAGAAAAACAATGTCGTCAAGAATAGATTGTGTGTGATGTGGAAAGCTAATAATAAGGCATGGGTCACAGGGCACATTTTCAAAGAGTAGGTCAATGATGTGTTTGGCCCCATTGTAAAAAATTTCCTCCTGGAATGTGAATTGCCTCTCAAGTGCCTCCTGGTACCGGACAATGCTCCTGCTCATCCTCCAGACTTGGAAGACCAGTTGTTTGGGGACTTTCGTTTTTTAACAGTGAAGTTCTTGCCCCTAAAACCACTCCTCTCTTCCAGCCCATGGACCAGCAGATCATTTCTAACTTCAAAAAACTCCACACCAAAGCAGTGTTTCAAAGGTGCTATGAAGTGACCTCGGACACTCATTTGACCCTAAGAGAGTTCTGGAGGAATCACTTCAGTGTCTTCCATTGCATAAGCCTTATAGGTAAGGCTTGGCAGGGAGTAACTTCCAGGACTTAGAAGTCTACTTGGAGAAAATTGTGGCCAGATTGTGTCCAAGAGAGAGATTTTGAAGGGTTTAGGGATGACCCTGAGGACCCTGTGCCTGTTGTGGAATCTATTGTGTCTTTGGGGAAGTCCATGGAGTTGGAGGTTAGTGGCGAGGATGTGGAAGAGTAACTAAATTACTTATGTATAAACAACTAGAGCTAGAGCTTTATTTTCCCTTGGTGACCTCAATAGGCAAGAGTTTGAAATACATGTATCACAATGAAGAGTCTCGGCTCTCATCTACAATTTTTCTTTTTAGCTGTTGAAGATATTGTATATAAATGAGCTTAAGTGAAGTTAGTGAAACATGCTAAACTGCCTTAAGAGTATCATAGATTTAAAACAAAAAAATTGTGAATTAACATGGTAAATTTTTAATTTCTCAATGTTCCAATACATACTTGTGAAGTTATAGCAACAATTAATGTACACTCTGCTTGTGTGGTAATGTAGTACTTGCCAAACAGGCCAAGTTGGCAACATAACTCACAAAATAACAATAACATGACTGCACACAAATCATGGAATGGGTGGGGCTTGAACCCATGGCAGGCGAGTCCTGAAACTCACACCAGTGTACTGTGCATGTGAGTTTCAGGACTTGCCTGCCATGGGTTCTATCCCCACTCATTCTGTGATTTAAGTTAGCAAGTTTTACCTTCACATAAATTACTTTAAAATATGTTAATGTATCTTAGTGCTGCAGGCTGATTTTTTTTTAGTTCCTTGTTATTTTCCTCTTTTCAGATACTTAGTAACACCTTTAATGGGAGCTGACCTCAACAACATCGTTAAAACGCAAAAACTCACAGATGATCATGTCCAGTTTCTCATATACCAAGTTCTTCGTGGCCTCAAGTACATTCATTCGGCAGGTATTATTCACAGGGTGAGTATTTTCATCAGTAGCATGATAAATTAAGAGACTAAATGCAGGGAACCCTTTATTGGTACAACATTTTACCCACTGGGTATAACATTTTACCCATGGGTGGGCTAAACATTGTACCAATGAACAGTGTCATCGTAAAGGGGGGCCTCCCCAGGTGAGACCATTTAGGAGGTGACACCATAGAACCTCTAAAGAAGGTGACACTAATGCACAAAACAGTGCTGCAGCAACATAAGAGAAAAATCCTTCATTTCTATGTAGGCTCTTATATGATTAAAGAGTACAAATAGGCTTATATGTAGAGGGAAAATCATTGATTTTGATGATGTGATAGATGATTTTGCAGGATTGAAGGCAAGGAAATGTAAGATCAGATTCACTGAGATGTTACCTGTACTCAAGGTCAAATTGGAACTAGTGTTTCTCTGATATTGCAATGTTTTATTTTATTTTTCAAGCTTTTTTTTTCTTTTGCATTGTTGAAGATAATAAATGTAGGATCTGTTGCCTGTACTCAAAGTGGTATTTGAGTTTGTTTCCTCAATATTACTTTGATTATTTATTTTATCATTAATAAAGTTGAGATGTATTCTCCTGTTTGGATTATGGCCCTTAACCCTTTGACCGTTTCGGTCGTATATATACATCTTACGAGGTACCGTGTTTGACGTATATATATTCATAAATTCTAGCAGCTTCAAATCAAGCAGGAGAAAGCTGGTAGGCCCACATGTGAGAGAATGGGTCTGTGTGGTCAGTGTGCACCATATAAAAAAAATCTTGGAGCACGCAGTGCATAATGAGAAAAAAAAAACTCCCACCTTTTTTTTTTTAATTAAAATGCCGACTTTGTGGTCTATTTTTATATAATATTTATGGTTGTATTCTCGTTTTCTTGGTCTCATTTGATAGAATGGAAAACATATAGAAATAGAGGTGATTTTGATTGATTTTACTTTAAAAAGAACCTGGAAATGGAGCTCAGAGTAGGGGAAATGTTTGATTTTTGCCGATGTTCAAATGTAAACAAATGATGTCATTGTCCAATAAATGTCCAACTAGCCATTCTAATATGCAGTCATGAATGGGTTGACATTACTTGTACAATTATTACAGTATTGCAGTAGTCTGCATAACAGTAAATATTCTATTTTTTGTTTGAATAAAAATTCAAAATAGAAAGCAGGAGTAATATCAGAGAGGCCTGGAGACATGACTGATGAACAAAGAAAATGTTATTTTAGAGCCAGAAATGTCTGCATTGTTCATTCTGGACCTTATTTTGAAATTGTCATATTTTTAATTTTCGTGAAATTGGTCAAATTGCAAATTTCTGACCACATTATTGGGTAGTTGAAATCAGTAAATGGGCAGTTTCTTGTACTCAATCGATAGAAAAAACGGATTTCTAAAGAAATAGCTGTGAGTTTGGTCGACTGGAACGATGGAATTAGCCGAAAATAGGGCTCAAAGTGGGCGAAATCGCCTATTTGTAAATATCGCCGAGGTCGCTAACTTCACGAGAGCGTAATTCCGTCAGTTTTCCATCAAATTTCATAAGAACATAAGAAAGGAGGAACACTGCAGGAGGCCTGCTGGCCCATACTAGGCAGGTCCTTTACAATTCATCCCACTAACAAAACATTTGCCCAACCCAATTTTCAATGCCACCCAAGAAATAAGCTCTGATGTGAAAGTCCCACTCAAATCCAACCCCTCCCACTCATGTACGTATCCAACCTAGATTTGAAACTACCCAAAGTTCCAGCCTCAATAACCCAACTAGGTAGACTGTTCCACTCATCAACTACCCTATTTCCAAACCAATACTTTCCTATGTCCTTTCTAAATCTAAACTTATCTAATTTAAATCCATTACTGCGGGTTCTCTCTTGGAGAGACATCCTCAAGACCTTATTAATATCCCCTTTATTAATACCTATCTTCCACTTATACACTTCGATCAGGTCTCCCCTCATTCTTCGTCTAACAAGTGAATGTAACTTAAGAGTCTTCAATCTTTCTTCATAAGGAAGATTTCTAATGCTATGTATTAATTTAGTCATCCTACGCTGAATGTTTTCTAACGAATTTATGTCCATTTTGTAATACGGAGACCAGAACTGAGCTGCATAATCTAGGTGAGGCCTTACTAATGATGTATAAAGCTGCAGTATGACCTCTGGACTTCTGTTGCTTACACTTCTTGATATAAATCCCAGTAATCTATTTGTCTTATTACGTACGCTTAGGCATTGCTGTCTTGGTTTAAGGTTGCTGCTCACCATAACCCCCAAGTCCTTTTTGCAATCTGTATGGCTAAGTTCTACATCATTTAACTTATAAGTACTAGGGTTATGGGCACTCCCAAGCTTTAGAACCTTGCATTTATCTACATTGAACTGCATCTGCCACTTTTCTGACCAAGAATAGAGTTTGTTTAAATCCTCCTGAAGTTCCATAACATCTACGTTTGAATCAATTATCCTACCTATCTTTGTGTCATCGGCGAATTTGCTCATATCACTAGTAATTCCCTCATCAAGATCATTGATATATATTATAAACAACAACGGGCCCAAGACTGATCCCTGTGGAACGCCACTTGTTACAGATCCCCACTCGGACTTAACCCCATTTATGGACACACTCTGCTTCCTGTCAGTGAGCCATGACTCGATCCACGAGAGCACTTTTCCCCCAATGCCATGAGCTGCCACTTTCTTTAGCAGTCTATAGTGCAGAACTCTATCAAAAGCCTTACTAAAATCTAAGTAAATAATATCAAATTCTTTATTGTGGTCAACAGCCTCAAAAGCTTTACTGAAGAAAGTTAATAAATTAGTTAGACAAGACCGGCCTCTTGTGAATCCATGCTGAGTATCATTAATCAAGCTATGCTTATCGAGATGGCTTCTTATAATCTCAGCTATAATTGACTCTAGTAATTTGCCTACAATTGAGGTCAGGCTTATTGGGCAGTAATTTGATGGTAATGACTTGTCCCCTGTTTTAAAAATAGGAATTACATTAGCCATCTTCCACATATCAGACACTACACCTGTTTGAAGAGATAAATTAAAAATATTAGTTAATGGTTCACAGAGTTCCATTTTGCATTCCTTAAGAACCCTTGAAAAAACCTCATCAGGGCCCGGCGACTTATTTTGCTTCAGTCTGTCTATCTGCTTCACAACCATCTCACTAGTGACTGTGATGTTACATAATTTATCTTCTTCTAGCCCACTGTAAAAATTAATTACTGGAATATTGTTAGTGTCTTCCTGTGTAAAAACTGAGAGAAAATAATTATTTAAAATCAAGCACATTTCATTCTCTTTGTCAGTAAGGTGCCCATAGTTATTTTTAAGGGGACCTATCTTATCTCTAACTTTTGTTCTATAGACCTGGAAAAAACTTTTTGGGTTAGTTTTAGAATCCCTAGCAACTTTAATTTCATAGTCCCTTTTAGCTTTTCTTATCCCCTTTTTAATGTCCCTCTTAATGTCAATATACTGATTCATAAGATGACCCTCACCTCTTTTGATATGCCTATAAATTCCTTTCTTATGCCCTAGTAGATATTTGAGCCTATTATTCATCCATTTTGGGTCATTTCTATTTGATCTAATTTCTTTATATGGGATAAACGCTCTTTGAGCAGCATGTATAGTGTTCAGAAAACTGTCATATTGATAGCTCTCTTCGTTACCCCAGTCAACAGATGATAAGTGTTCTCAAGCCCATCGTAATCTGCTAAGCGAAAATCTGGGACTGTTACTGAGTTATCGCTACTATCGTACTTCCATTCAATGCTAAATGTAATTGATTTGTGGTCGCTAGCACCCAGTTCCTCTGAAATTTCTAAATTATTAACAAGGGATTCATTGTTTGCCATAACTAAGTCAAGCAGGTTATTTCCCTTGTAGGTTCTGTCACAAACTGCTTCAAAAAACAATCCTGAAATACTTCTAAGAAGTCGTATGATTCTAAATTCCCAGTCAAGAAATTCCAATCAACATGACTAAAGTTAAAGTCTCCTAGAATTACTACATTATCGTGCCTTGTGGCCTTAACAATTTCCTCCCATAGTAGTTTCCCTTGGTCCCTATCTAAGTTTGGGGGACGGTATATCACACCTAAAATCAGTTTTTCATGCCCCTCTGAAAATTCTATCCAAACAGACTCTGTATGTGTTACTTCAGACTTAATACCCGTTTTTATGCAACAGTTCAAGCGATCTCGGACATACCATGCCACCCCACCCCCCTTCCCAATACTTCTATCTTCTTGGAACAATTTAAAACCCTGAATATGACATTCCGCAGGCATGTCCCGACTTTTTGAATTAAACCACATCTCAGTTAAGGCAAATACATCAATGTTACCTGCACTAGCAACTAATCTCAACTCGTCCATCTTATTCCTAGCACTACGGCAATTAGCATAATAAACATTGAAAGACTCTCCTTTCTCTTTACCCTTCCTGCTCATTTCTATTTTTCTACTAAACCTATTACTGTCCTTATCACCCAAGGTCCCTGGCTTTTCAATATCTACCTCGTTCTTATTATTACTAGTTTCCCTAGAACTGGGACTTCACTGTTTTCCTGCCAAAACCCATACCACTAACTACTCCTAGCTTAAAGCCCTAACTGCTCCCTCCACTGCAGTTGCCAGTGCTCCCACCCCACACCTAGATAAGTGAACCCCATCCCAGGCATACATGTCATTTCTGCCATAGAAGAGGTCCCAGTTGTCAATGAATGTTACCGCATTTTCCTTACAGTATTTGTCCAGCCAGCAATTGACACCAATTGCCCTGGACAACCATTCATTTCCAACTCCCCTCCTTGGCAAAATACCACATATGAGAGGGTTCCCACCCTTACTCCTAATTATTTCTATTGCTGACCTATACCTGCTAATCAGGTCTTCACTCCTACGTCTGCCAACATCGTTGCCTCCAGCACTGAGACAGATAATAGGATTACTCCCATTACCTCTCATGATGTCATCCAGATGGCTAACAATATCCTCTATCCCAGCCCCAGGAAAGCAAACTCTCTGTCTCCTACTCCTGTCCTTCAAGCAGAACGCCCTATCCATATACCTTACTTGGCTATCCCCAACAACAACAATATTCGTACCTTCCTTGGTGTCGTTCGTCGTGATGTTCCCAGTAGTCGACTCACATTCGTCGGGTAGCACTGAGAATGTATTAGATGTTTCCACAACAGTTTCCACGGCAGTCTCTTTCTTCTTCATCGTTTCTACCTTTCCATTCGTCTTCTTGATCGTCAACCTCTTTCCCTGCTGTCCAGCCACTGACCAGTTTCCCTCTTGACCTGAGGACTCAAAACAGGAGGACTACTACGAATCTTTTTGTTTTCCTCGTTCACTCGCCGAATTTCCACATTCGCCATCCTCAATTCTTCCTTAAGCTGTTGGTAAAGTTGCTCGATGGAGGGCATCTTGCTTCAATTCTAGAGAGCGCGCAAACAGGTCTTCACAGAGCCAAGTACACGTCAACACTGCGCAAAAGCCAACTCAATCAGGAGCTACTGCGCAGCACATCCGCACGGCCCAACAGCGATGCGAACACTCGTTTTTTTGTGTCATTACAATCGGGAAAATATTCTCCATCATTTCATAAGAAAAAATAATTTTTTTTTTAAAATTTTGCGACACCAGGAGACACCTCAGGATTGGGGGTTGCGACAGTCAAGGGGTTAAATGTTCTCATTGCTAAACATTTGTCATTGGTCATGCAGTAGTGACGTAACTGGAGTTTACTTCTCCCATGCCCCTGCCCTTGGATTTCATGGGAGTGACACTAAAGATGCCGCCCTGGGTGACACCAAAGATTCTGCCCCAGGTGATACCAACTCTAGTGACGCCACTGCCAATGAAGGCTTTCCTGTATTTGGTGTCTTACCATTTGTCATCATTTTCACCCTTATGTAGTAGTAAAAATGGTAGCACATAGTAGTGTAGCAAAGGGATATATCTACATAATTAATTACATTTTTAAGTTTTAAAACCAAAATAGTTATCCTGGGCTTGTTTGAGAACCTGAACATTTAAAATACATTATACACTATATTTTTTTTTATAATTCAAAACAGACACTTGCATTTTTCTTTCACATATGCTCAGTATTTAAACATTGAAGAGGAGTGTCAGATACTGAAACATTGACAAAACCTATTCATTCAGTTTGGAAACAGCTACAAATGTCCCTCTTAACATAATGATAAACGGATCACCTATCACAAAGCTCACAGAGGGAAAATTCTTAGGAATCCACCTTGATAATAGACTCAAATTTCAAACACATGTACAACAAATTTCCAAAAAAATTTCCAAGACCAGAGGCATACTATCGAAGATACGGTACTATGTTCCACAGTCAGCCCTCCTGGCCCTATATCACTCACTTATTTACCCCTATCTCACCTATGGAATTTGTGCTTGGGGCTCAACAACAATAAACCATCTCAGACCATTAATTACCCAACAAAAGGCTGCAGTCAGAATGATAACAAATTCACACTACAGGCAGCACGCTCCACCAATATTCAAAACTCTAAACCTACTCACCGTACAAAACATCCGTACTTATTATTGTACCTACTACATACATGGAATACTTAACTCGGATATAAACCCTTCCCTCAAACGTCTCCTTACCAACCTCAACAGAACACATGACCATAACACAAGGCACAGATCACTCTTTGAAGTTCCTTGTGTCCATCTCACACTATGCAAAAACTCAATGCACATAAAAGGCCCAAAAATCTGGAATTCATTACCTGTGAATATAAAAGAAGCACTGTCTGTTTATAAATTCAAGTCTCTTCTTAAAAATCACTTACTCACCCACAACTAAATAAATACTGAATAATTGTATCTCATAAATGTTTAACCTGTGACCCTATCAAACTTTTTTTTTTTAATTACATTACCTAACAGAATATTCCATTCTACTGAATGCACAGCATTGCAGTAAATGACCATATGACCTATCTTTGAAATACTCATTTGTGCTTAATTGTTATTTGTTTACTATAATTTTTACCACTGAATATATCATTACTTAGTTAATCTTAAGTTAATTTTAAGCCTGCCCATAATGCTCTGCACACAAGGGGCTTTTGGCATGTTACACTTAACAACTGTATTTCTTTGTACATCTATGTATCATGTCCAAATTAATAATACATAAATAAATAAATAAATCTTGCACTATGTTAATTGCAGTATTGATTATCCTTTCCAGGATTTGAAGCCAAGCAACATAGCAGTAAACGAAGATTGTGAATTGAAAATATTAGACTTTGGTTTGGCAAGACCCACAGAATCTGAGATGACGGGTTACGTAGCGACTAGGTGGTATAGAGCGCCGGAGATTATGCTTAACTGGATGCACTACAATCAGACAGGTACTTGTACACTGAAGTGGCATATATAATCATTGTATATTGTTCAGTTATAAGAGGTTTGCTTATTATATGTCCATCTCCTTAACATTGCATTACTGTATGCAGTATTTGTGTTGCAGCGTTCTGTATTGTATTGTATTCTAATTTGTGCCATATTTAAACAGATTCTTGAATGTTGCATTAATAATGATGTTATGATAGACACATACCGTGTTTATTCATATATGTTTATACACTGTTGCAGACTTTAGTGATTTTTAAAAATTTGATATATTGGCAAGATATACAATCCAGTGGTCCCTTGAGAATTAATCTGTTCCAGAAGATGTATCATACCTCAAAACTATATAACTCAAACCCCAAAATACATGGTTTTATGGCAATTTGTTCCAGAACCCCAGAAGTGCAACTTTTATTGTACCTTGGACTTGAAGAGTTGGTGGGGAGGAGGGTGGAGAGGTGGTTACTGGTTGGAAGGAGAAGTTCCTTCCAACCACTGTCTTGAAAAGACAGTCTAGAGTTTTGTTTCTGTTACTTTCTTCTGAAGTTCTTTAAATAAAATAAAACATTATTTTATTATTTTTATTATTTATTATTTTTATTATTTATTATTTTTTATTATTTATTATTTATTATTTTTTTTATTATTTTTATTATTTTTATTATTTTTGGAGTGAGTTAAATAAGTTAAGAAAGCCTAGGGAAAGTATGGATTTGTCCGTTAAAAACAGAGTAGGGGAGTTAGTAGATGGGGAGAGGGAGGTATTAGGTAGATGGCGAGAATATTTTGAGGAACTTCTAAATGTTGAGGAAGAAAGGGAGGTGGTAATTTCATGCACTGGCCAGGGAGGTATACCATCTTTTAGGAGTGAAGAAGAGCAGAATGTAAGTGTGGTGGAGGTACGTGAGGCATTACGTAGAATGAAAGGGGGTAAAGCAGCTGGAACTGATGGGATCAGGACAGAAATGTTAAAAGCAGGGGGGGAAATAGTGTTGGAGTGGTTGGTACTTTTGTTTAATAAGTGTATGAAAGAGGGGAAGGTACCTAGGGATTGGCAGAGAGCATGTATAGTCCCTTTATATAAAGGGAAAGGGGATAAAAGAGATTGTAAAAATTATAGAGGAATAAGTTTACTGAGTATACCAGGAAAAGTATACGGTAGGGTTATAATTGAAAGAATTAGAGGTAAGACAGAATGTAGAATTGCGGATGAGCAAGGAGGCTTCAGAGTGGGTAGGGGATGTGTAGATCAAGTGTTTACATTGAAGCATATATGTGAACAGTATTTAGATAAAGGTAGGGAAGTTTTTATTGCATTTATGGATTTAGAAAAGGCATATGATAGAGTGGATAGAGGAGCAATGTGGCAGATGTTGCAAGTTTATGGAATAGGTGGTAAGTTACTAAATGCTGTAAAGAGCTTTTATGAGGATAGTGAAGCTCAGGTTAGGGTGTGTAGAAGAGAGGGAGAATACTTCCCGGTAAAAGTAGGTCTTAGACAGGGATGTGTAATGTCACCATGGTTGTTTAATATATTTATAGATGGGGTTGTAAAAGAAGTAAATGCTAGGGTGTTCGGGAGAGGGGTGGGATTAAATTATGGGGAATCAAATTCAAAATGGGAATTGACACAGTTACTTTTTGCTGATGATACTGTGCTTATGGGAGATTCTAAAGAAAAATTGCAAAGGTTAGTGGATGAGTTTGAGAATGTGTGTAAAGGTAGAAAGTTGAAAGTGAACATAGAAAAGAGTAAGGTGATGAGAGTATCAAATGATTTAGATAAAGAAAAATTGGATATCAAATTGGGGAGGAGGAGTATGGAAGAAGTGAATGTTTTCAGATACTTGGGAGTTGACGTGTCGGCGGATGGATTTATGAAGGATGAGGTTAATCATAGAATTGATGAGGGAAGAAAGGTGAGTGGTGCGTTGAGGTATATGTGGAGTCAAAAAACGTTGTCTATGGAGGCAAAGAAGGGAATGTATGAAAGTATAGTAGTACCAACACTCTTATATGGATGTGAAGCTTGGGTGGTAAATGCAGCAGCGAGGAGACGGTTGGAAGCAGTGGAGATGTCCTGTCTAAGGGCAATGTGTGGTGTAAATATTATGCAGAAAATTCAGAGTGTGGAAATTAGGAGAAGGTGTGGAGTTAACAAAAGCATTAGTCAGAGGGCAGAAGAGGGGTTGTTGAGGTGGTTTGGTCATTTAGAGAGAATGGATCAAAGTAGAATGACATGGAAAGCATATAAATCTATAGGGGAAGGAAAGAGGGGTAGGGGTCGTCCTCGAAAGGGTTGGAAAGAGGGGGTAAAGGAGGTTTTGTGGGCGAGGGGCTTGGACTTCCAGCAAGCGTGCATGAGCGTGTTAGATAGGAGTGAATGGAGACGAATGATACTTGGGACCTGACGATCTGTTGGAGTGTGAGCAGGGTAATATTTAGTGAAGGGATTCAGGGAAACCGGTTATTTTCATATAGTCGGACTTGAGTCCTGGAAATGGGAAGTACAATGCCTGCACTTTAAAGGAGTGGTTTGGGATATTGGCAATTTGGAGGGATATGTTGTGTATCTTTATACGTATATGCTTCTAAACTGTTGTATTCTGGGCACCTCTGCAAAAGCAGTGATAATGTGTGAGTGTGGTGAAAGTGTTGAATGATGATGAAAGTATTTTCTTTTTGGGGATTTTCTTTCTTTTTTGGGTCACCCTGCCTCGGTGGGAGACGACCAACTTGTTGAAAAAAAAAAAAAAAAAATTATTTTCAAAAAAACAGGAAATAAGTTCAATTTTTTCAGTGTTTGCCTGCTTTCTTATGATTCTTTTTACTTCTTTCCAGTGAATAAATAACCGAATTTCATCAGCCACTTTAATGTTCTTTATAATTTCTTTTTGCCTGATAATAGTAGAGATGGTTGATTGTGGAAAGCCATATTCAAGCACCAGTGCACTAATTTTAATTACTTCATCATGTTTTTTCACAATTTTTTGCCTGATCTTCAGAAAAACTGCCTGTTTACTGCACACTTTAGAGGCCATGATGACTTGATAACACAATGATGATGTAATTAGTTAGCAAATGCATTTACGAAGGGTAAATCATTCAAAGTTTGTGTGGGTAACACGCATGGCAACTTCAAATTGAAGAGGAAATAATAAACTGTTTGACAAACACTGCTTTTGACTGCCATGCTGCCATAGAGACATTCATTTTCATTACTGATTGGCTACTAAGCCACCTCCACCCTCCACCACCCATGTGCGCCAACCATCCTACGCATATTGTATCTCAAATTTTATATTGCAACTCAAAACTAAATTCCTGTATAAGGGTAAATCGTAAATCAGAATTATAATAACTTTGCACATTGTAACGCAGGGAACCACTGTACATTTAATCACAATTTATTCTAAAGCAACTTAGGGTAGTAAATTTTATTATCATCAAAAACTGCAGTTATATTTTACCAATTTAATAAAATACCAGTATAGTTGTCCCTCCATATTTCCAAGGTGTTACATTCCAAAAGGTCCCATGAAAGTAGAAAATGTGAATAATGCAAAAGAGGTTGAAAGACAAGTATATACCAATGATCCTTTTATTTGTACAAGGTTTCACCCCCTGGAAACTGTCATGTATATTTGATACAACCATCTGGGAGTGAAATGTTATTTAAATAAAAGTTTCTTTGTTACAAGTGTCATTCTACCGGCATTTGTCGGTTTACAGCCATTATTTCAAATACAGACGTAACTGAGCAACAGATTTTCTTTCAGGTCATGATTTATTTTGTGTTTAGGAGACCGTATCTTGTTATACGTATACTATATCATACATAACCTGATAATATTGATGTTCATAAGAAATAATACCATAAATAAAGATAGGTTAGGATGTCGGAAAGTCACTGAGCCAGAAACACTTTAATGATTGCTCATCAGCAAAAATGTTAAATAATTGAAATCAGTGCATATGGAAGCCTCTGAATTTGGAGGAATAAACATTATGAGAAACTGACAAATAATAGATTACTAAATGTTACTCTAAGTATCAGTTAAGTACAGTACTGTATTTTATATATTTCAGTTGACATATGGTCGGTGGGATGCATAATGGCAGAGCTCCTAACAGGGAGAACATTGTTTCCTGGTGCTGACCGTATCCTTTTCCTTTTTCTATGATTCATTTGTACTTTTTTCAATTGGTTGCTTCCATTTATTTATTAAACCCAGGAAGTCCACCTTTTGCCTCAAATATCTGGTACAGTAGTCATTGAAATGTAAACTTAAACTGCATAAGATTGTTTGAACTTGTCCCTCCTTTTGACAAGTGATTTTCCTCATTTTGATACCCCAGTAAGTGTTGTCTTTTTTTCCTCATTTGGTAAGTGTTTTTTCCACTATTTTTTTTTTTTTTTTTTTCATTATTACATACAAAACTGTCAAGCTGCTAGCATGTGAACATTGAGGTCTATTATAGAATTTTTTGTAATTTTCTTTTGGCTTGTATAGTATATGATTATTACCAGTATATTATGATGGTTCAAAAGCTAACATTAATTTATTATGAGTTTGGTATAGTGAATAAAGGGGAGTATGGCCAAACAAACATGAAAATGATTACCACCTGTGAAATATGAAGCCCTTTGTGGGCTTGACACATCATCAAAACTTAGAGTAGTATTTTGTGCATTATGTCTACATGTTTGCATTTCTTAATTGGTCATCTATGTTCTGATTCCATTCGTGGGTAATATCTAATTAAATTTGGCCTTGCATTACTGTATTCCCTCTATATCCACAATGGATGTGTTCAACAAGAAGCTTACAGATGATGAATTTACAGATACAGTATGGAACTTAACACTGTACCTTGTTGAAAAAAATAAAGGACATATGTTCAAGACCCTAGTATTTCCTGTACTGAGAGAGTACTGGACAAGCATTTTGCATTACTACTAGGAGTCTGATGTAGTATAAGTAAGTCATCTAATATATAATATGATTTAATATGTATTGTAAGCAAGGCAGTGTAATGGTATTTGGCAATTTGCAAGTCATGAACCTCAGGGTTGAGCTCAGATGTAATATGTATTATATTGTATGTGTGTAATATGTGATTGCAACTCATGGATAATATCATGACACCCTACATATGTCTTGTTTCTTGGAATTTTTGAAAAGAAAGTGATTTCCAAGAACTTTTCTAATGCTTTGATGCAAAGCATCAGTCACCAGTAAATACAAACATCACCAGATAAATGTAAGAAACAGTCTTCTTTTGTTACAGAATTGAAGCAGTGCCACTAATAATATGGGACTCCATGCTTCGTTAAAATTAAAAATTTTAAATTAATACATAGAGTGCACAGGTGAGGTCACAGCATTTGAATAATCCTGTTAAATATGTCTGTGGCAAAGTCAGCTGAGAGGTCACTCACTTTAGTACAAAGATGATATAGAATTGCAAAGTATTTAATTCTACAAGTACAGTTATGTTAATACAGCACCAACAGATTGTGGTTATATGACATATTGGTTTACAAAATTAAGACATTTATTGAAGGAAACAGCTAAAAACACAAATAAGGAAGCAATGTAGCAGATGTTGCAAGCATATGGAATAGGTGTGAGGTTACTTAATATAGTTAAGAGGATAGTGAGGCACAGGTTAGGGTATGTAGGAGAGAGGGAGATTTTTTTCCAGTAAATGTAGGCCTTAAATATGGATGTGTGATGTTGCCATTGTTGTTTAACATATTTAGAGATGGGGTTGTAAAAGAAGTGAATGCTAGGGTATCGGGGAGAGGTGTGGGAATAAAAGATGAATCGAATACAAAGTGGGAGTTGACAGTTGCTTTTTGTTGATGGCACGGTACTTTTGGGAGATTCTGAATAGTTGCAAAGGTTGGTAGATGAATTTAAGAGGGTTTATGTATATACAAATACATAATTTTACACACACACAGTCTCTCACTCTGTATTTGAGATTACTTTAACCCTTACACTGTTCAAACATGGATCAACGTTCACGTGCGTAGCACTCCAATCGTAGATCTACATTTTATTTTACATGCTTTCATCCTTGGCACGATAAACCTGAGTTGCCTAGACATGAGAGAATGAGTCAGTGCACTCATTGTGCACAGTATGACAAAATTCGGGGATGCCGAGTAAAATGCACTCTTCATTTAAAAAAAAACAATTGTTTTTTTGTCCCAAAATATTCAGAGTGGTACGCATGTGAACGTTGATCTATGTTTGGACAGTTTAAGGGTTAATATCCAAAAATTCAAAATGGTCATACCTATATTTCTGTGGGGAAATTGTGTGGTTTTTTTTTTTTTTTAATTTCTTCAAAGTAGTACATTACTCTACCCTTGTTATTCATATTCTGAACTGTACTTTTTTAGTCTTTAGTTCATGCTTTGTGTTCACGTTTACCATTAGCACTCATATTTTCAACATTCACATTTTTCTCTTAATATACTGTAGCACAGCACTTTTACTCTCTCTGACATCTGTGACTCTAAAAATGTCTTCAGATTTTCAACTTTTTTTTTTTTTCTTCCTGCAGTATTGTCTCTCCGTATAAACTTTTTAAATTGTTTAACGATTCCTTTAAATGCTTCTAAATATTAAAGTTACTCTCTGCAACATTTATAACCAAGACTTTTAGAGACAATGCTGCATTATCTTTCCAACAGCCTTTTAACACAGCATTAGCATTTTGAAATTAGCAATCAATTGCATTTCGATAAAAATCTTGATGGCATGATGCTGGACCTTCCCGTGTTGGTTAGTGATTCACTTATTTGTTGCTTAGCCTCATCCACTGACTTCCACTTTTTTTTTTTTTTTTTTTTTCAACAAGTCGGCCATCTCCCACCGAGGCAGGGTGACCCAAAAAAGAAAGAAAATCCCCAAAAAGAAAATGCTTTCATCATCATTCAACACTTTCACCACACTCACACATAATCACTGTTTTTGCAGAGGTGCTCAGAATACAACAGTTTAGAAGCATATACGTATAAAGATACACAACATACCCCTCCAAACTGCCAATATCCCAAACCCCTCCTTTAAAGTGCAGGCATTGTACTTCCCATTTCCAGAACTCAAGTCCGACTATATGAAAATAACCGGTTTCCCTGAATCCCTTCACTAAATATTACCCTGCTCACACTCCAACAGATCGTCAGGTCCCAAGTACCATTTGTCTCCATTCACTCCTATCTAACACGCTCACGCACGCTTGCTGGAAGTCCAAGCCCCTTGCCCACAAAACCTCCTTTACCCCCTCTCTCCAACCCTTTCGAGGACGACCCCTACCTCGCCTTCCTTCCCCTATAGATTTATATGCTTTCCATGTCATTCTACTTTGATCCATTCTCTCTAAATGACCAAACCACCTCAACAACCCCTCTTCTGCCCTCTGAACTAATACTTTTATTAACTCCACACCTTTTCCTAATTTCCACACTCCGAATTTTCTGCATAATATTTACACCACACATTGCCCTTAGACAGGACATCTCCACTGCCTCCAACCGTCTCCTTGCTGCTGCATTTACCACCCAAGCTTCACACCCATATAAGAGTGTTGGTACTACTATACTTTCATACATTCCCTTCTTTGCCTCCATAGATAACGTTTTTTGACTCCACATATACCTCAATGCACCACTCACCTTTTTTCCCTCATCAATTCTATGATTAATCTCATCCTTCATAAATCCATCCGCCGACACGTCAACTCCCAAGTATCTGAAAACATTCACTTCTTCCATACTCCTCCTCCCCAGTTTGATATCCAATTTTTCTTTATCTAAATCATTTGATACCCTCATCACCTTACTCTTTTCTATGTTCACTTTCAACTTTCTACCTTTACACACATTCTCAAACTCATCCACTAACCTTTGCAATTTTGCTTTAGAATCTCCCATAAGCACAGTATCATCAGCAAAAAGTAAATGTGTTAATTCCCATTTTGAATTTGATTCCCCATAATTTAATCCCACCCCTCTCCCGAACACCCTAGCATTTACTTCTTTTACAACCCCATCTATAAATATATTAAACAACCATGGTGACATTACACATCCCTGTCTAAGACCTACTTTTACTTGGAAGTAGTCTCCCTCTCTTCTACACACCCTAACCTGAGCCTCACTATCCTCATAAAAACTCTTTACAGCATTTATTAACTTACCACCTATTCCATATACTTGCAACATCTGCCACATTGCTCCCCTATCCACTCTATCATATGCCTTTTCTAAATCCATAAATGCAATAAAAACTTCCCTACCTTTATCAAAATACTGTTCACATATATGCTTCAATGTAAACACTTGATCTACACATCCCCTACCCACTCTGAAACCTCCTTGCTCATCCGCAATCCTACATTCTGTCTTACCTCTAATTCTTTCAATTATAACCCTACCGTACACTTTTCCTGGTATACTCAATCAACTTATTCCTCAATAATTTTTACAGTCTCTTTTGTCCCCTTTCCCTTTATATAAAGGGACTATACATGCTCTCTGCCAATCCCTAGGTACCTTCCCCTCTTTCATACATTTATTAAACAAAAGTACCAACCACTCCAACACTATATCCCCTCCTGCTTTTAACATTTCTGTCATGATCCCATCAGTTCCAGCTGCTTTACCCCCTTTCATTCTACGTAATGCCTCATGTACCTCCCCCACACTTACATTCTGCTCTTCTTCACTCCTAAAAGATGGTATACCTCACTGACCAGTGCATGAAATTACCGCCTCCCTTTCTTCCTCAACATTTAAAAGTTCCTCAAAATATTCTCGCCATCTACCTAATACCTCCCTCTCCCCATCTACTAACTCCCCTACTCTGTTTTTAACTGACAAATCCATACTTTCCCTAGCTTTCTTAACTTGTTTAACTCACTCCAAAAATTTTTCTTATTTTCATTAAAATTTCTTGACAGTGCCTCTCCCACTCTATCATCTGCTCTCCTTTTGCACTCTCTCACCACTCTCTTCACCTTTCTTTTACTCTCCATATACTCTGCTCTTCTTATAACACTTCTGCTTTTATAAACCTCTCATAAGCTAACTTTTTCTCTTTTATCACACCCTTTACTTCAGCATTCCACCAATCACTCCTCTT